CGACACCGCGATAGCGATCGTCCACGAAGTCGCCGCGATCTTGCCCGATCCTTTGAAATTTACTAAAATCAACCTGCTCTATCGACCTCTACAAAACTTCGATTAAATTAATCGACGATTGATACAACCGGTGGAATTGCTTCCAGCGAAACTTTTTAGTTTGTAATCTATCTAATCTTCCTTTCGGATAATACTATTGCTTTTTAATGAAAAATCTAATGTATCTAGAATTGATTCTGGGCTTGTGTGAGAAGTTTGATAACGGTAGAGAATCATTTCATACTGTTAAAAAAATAAAATTAGTCTCTTATTCAATTATAAATATCTACACGGAAAGAATGATTTTTCTAAAGTATCTAAAAATTGAACTAGATCTGAAAATAATTTTGTTAGACTATAAAAATAATCATATAGAAATCTTAGGCATAATGAGCAATATTGCAAAAAGTTTTAACATTTCGGCATCAATATGAGTGCTATGTAACTATTTTGATCATTTAACAAAATTATTTTCAGATCTGTATCTAGCTAAATTTTTAAATACTGCAATAAAACTGAGATATTAAAAAATACAGTAAAAAAAAATACAGTAACTATAACAGATAGTTATAGTTACTGTATTTTTTTTAAAGAACATGAATTGAGTTTTATTGAAATTATCAGTCTTTTGTAAAATGACTATGATTATAAAACTATTAATTTATGTATTATTATTTTGAGTACCTGAATAAATAAAACAAGAACGATAAGTTTAATGTAAGTGCGTAGTATAGAATTATTACACGCTAAAATTAAAGTGTCGTTTAAACTTAGAATGCACTTAATATGCATTATATCGTGGATTAATCGCTTTCGTGCTCGAATAGAAAGATTAAGTCGATATCCCTGCGACTGTGATTATTTCAAAGTATTCCCCGCGGCGAATGTAACCCTTCCGCTTATAATGGAGGACAAAGTGCGCCATTAACATATCACGATCTTATGTAATTAAATATAGCGGCAATATTTATGAAGTCATTATACCCTTGAAAAAAAGAGCCAGTAAGAATGTGATAAACAGTTTCTACAATTAAATTTCTGACCATTGGTCTAGAACTGACGACATATCCTTACAATAATCCATTTCCTGTTCAACATTTGTCAGTAAAAAGTCGCACAGTGAAAATTAGCTTCATATCGCTAAAAGTGCACGAGTATTATTAAGAGAGCAACAACGATAAAAAGATCTCCTCAATATCAGATACACTGAGAAAAAGATATTTAAAAATTTAGTTGTGACATATATGCCCGTATTCATAGTCATTGCAATGAAATAATTCGTAGAGCATCTGAAGATAAATTTAAGGAAGCCTTAAATATAAGGCCTGACTATGAATACGGGCAATAATGTTCATTTCACTATATAATCCCTATTTTGAAATATATATATATAAATTCTTATTTTTTTTAATACAAAGAAAAATTTTATTTCTAGCAAATAAATCGTCTATTTCATTTTTTATTCTTTTGCTTTATTTTCTCTTTTTGTTTACAATTAATAAGAAAAATGAAATATATTTCACAGAAATGAATATTCTGTTATCACAATCAAATTTTGTCATAATCGGTAAATATGTATCATTGCTTTTAAATATTTCGATTTTTTTCTCAGTGTACAATCATTTCAATTATTGCCCAGACAACAAAAAGTCTAAGATCGAGACATAAGACATTTTAAAGATATCTTTAGACATTTTAAAGATATCTTTTTAAAAAATATCTTTAAGATATACATGATATCTTATGTCTCGTTTGTGTTGTCTGTTAATGACAACGCAATTTTATATGCATAGAAATCATTTGTATCTAAACACATTGGCATCTCCCCTAATAGCACACTTTATTTGAGGAACGTTCTGGCGAATGTTCTTAAGATATAGGGATATCCTCTGAATGTTCTTTGGAACGTCCCTTGGAGATCTGTGCTATTAGAGTCAGTGTTTTTAATATTCATTTAAAGTAAGTAATTAATCATTACCTTTTGATATTGAGTTTTTGTAAGGCCAATGTAAACCTAAATTCATGATGCATGAATGTTAATAATGATCTCACATACATTACATAATATTTGGACTTATAAAATCAATTACCTTTTTTTTTTTATTTCAAATACATCTTTATACGCGTGTTCGTTTGATTAGCATTTTTCTCGGTACGCGACGGTATTTCTTTAAGAAATTCATATCATTGAGATTTTATAAACGAGGAACGAGGAGGTGTACTATTTCGTCGACATCGTGCGCGACGTCATTCGCACGAGACGGGCGCTAAACTGCCTCTCGTGTCTCTCGTGCTAACCAGTAATAAACGTATATTCACACGAAACCTCGACGTACCGCGACATTTATAAGCATAATCCTCGAGATCACACGCGAAAATCTGTGATACAGCTTGCCTGCATAACGTATACGATCTCGCACAAGAGAGAGACCTTAAGAATATCTCATCGCAATGTTATTTCTTACCGTATACTTTTAGTTTCGAAAAAAAAACGCGGAATTTCTCGAGTATAATTTTTAACAAAAATTATACTCGCAAAATTCTTCCGTTTTCGACTTTCAAATTCGATTTCAATTCAAATTATAATATTAAAATTAAATACAAAATAAATATGACTCCAATGAATAAATTAATAAAATGTAAAATGCCTGTGCAACTTTCCGCAGTTCGATCTTGATGCGTAAAAAAGTTAAATCTTAAGTAAAAGATGTACAGACGTTTCGATCCTTGATTTGGATAATCTTCAGTCAACAAATATATATGGTGACAGAAAGTGAACAGACTATAATCTCTCCTCCTGGTAGTCTTTCAATGTCGAAACAGTCAAATGATAAGACAATGGTCAAAGTAAAACGTAAAACGTTCAAAGTAAACAGCAAGAAGAGAGAGATTGTGCCTTCCAAAGTGATGTGATATGTAAAGATTTGTAATTTAACGATAATAAGTCTGTTCGTGTTGCATAAAAATCTCCAAAAATTGTTTGCATTTAAAAGAAGATAAATATATATTCGTACGTTGAAACGAGAGAAAATGAAGATGCTAAGTGCAAAAAGCACAAGCAACGCGAACGGATTTCATGTAACTTTTTCTCTAAGACGGAAATGTGGAAAAAATGAAAAATTTTAGTGATAAGAAATTTTCATGTTTTAATGTTACTGTTAGATATATCTTATTATATATTGTTATTAGTTGTCATATTATTTTTACCTGAAAATTGCTAAAAATTGTTTAATGTGTTCGCTTTACTGTCCACGAATGAGTTACAGAGATTCTTTGGTATGTTCGCATAAGGTAAGCAATAACAAAATTCTATTTTTTATTGTCATAAGTACATTTATCTTATTATATAATCTTTTCTTATTACTTTAGTAAAATCTATACAAATATATTGATTATCTGTGATATTTTATATTATCTAAAGTAAATTTATGTACTTCGAGGCATAATGGTGCACTGGTGTTATTTTATGTTTAAAATGAGTTTATGATTCATATGCAAGTATAGATAAAAATGATGAGAATTATTTTATTTGTGTTATCTTCTTAAACACACATTTTTATTTATGTTCAATATAATAACAGTATACCTTGTGTGTATAATGTATCACTCAGCATCACATATAGAATTATTAATAAAAAATTAAAAATTAAAAGTGCAACAATGTATTTTTACTTATATTATATGTTCTAAGTCACTTTTAAGCAATGTTCAATATTAATTTTTTAAAAATAGACAAGTTTTCTGTGGTGCCCCATTATGCCCTGCATAAATGACATAGGTTACGACACACTTTCACAAAACAATAATTTCGTCCTGTTAATCTATACTTTTGCAGTAAAACTTAAGTTTTCCTTATAGTAAATACTTCAAAAAATATTTTAATATATAACAAAGTTGATTTATTTATCTTTAATATGTTTAAAACTTGAAAAAATCTAACTATAACCATTATACCCCAGGTTCCCCTACTGTCTAAAATTTGTAATTGTGAGCGTTGGCCATCGATGTCTACGCACACTGCATTCCTTTTTCTTAATAGAAATAAAAATGTATAATTGGTATTCACGCTTATTTTTCTAAATAATTTTCTAATGTATGAACGTCGGTATATCAAGCCCCACAATTACAAATTTTGGACAACACTGGATATAATTTGCAGCTAAAGTTTCGTACGCACGCGGGGTAATTAATATTTTAACATATGAATTTATGCGTATACCGGCAACTTATTATGGTTCTTGAGATGAAAATTACAAAAGTGAGCGAATTTACTCGAATATTTATAATTTCGTCGGTCATCAGTCACTTAGTGAATTTGCTTACTTTTGTAATTTTTACCTTTTTTCAAGAACTGTAATAATCCAATTATATCTATGTTTTTCATATATGCCTTATGGTTGTTCTACAATGTGCTCTTTATTTCCTGTTTCTTGCTTTTTACCTTTTGCTTTTTTCCTCTTTATGATCGTTCTATCGACAATTATATTTCTTGATATGTGTTTTCTGTTTTTTCTGAAGTTCGTTAACGTTTATCTCGAGCAACAAAAAACGAAAAACGGGATAAGAGGCAAAAAGATACAAAAAATTGCAAAAAGCAAGAAATAGAAAACAAAAAGCACATTGTAGAATAGGCTTTAATATGTGACTATAGGACATATAAAAAAATAAAAAATCATAAAGTAGTAGAATGTAAATAGTGAACGGCCAATCATAATAGAGAACATAATCCAAAATTCTTTGATTTGCTTATTGCTAACGTCTTAATTACTTAAGACTTTTTGTGTGCCATGGCCCTGAATGTTGAAATATTAACGACTCTGTGTAGACATATAAATATATGTATACGCGTCGAATTAGTTTTTCTTTCTCCCCTTTCGCTGTATTTTTTTCGTCGTATCATGTCGTTCGCGCGTAGAGAAACGCGCCAGAGGAAACAAACGAAGATAACAAAAAAAAAAACAAATGGAAGGCGAATGTATATGGGCACAGGTCGCGAAAAAAAACATTAGGAACATGTTCGCAGTTTCCTTGTGAGGTAAATTTCTTGTGAAACGAAATAGCAAACCCACATTAGACATAGAGAAACCCCACGTGCAGCGCGTGACTCGTTAAATACTGATCGTTTCTAGTGCGTGATAAAATTGCAAATCAAGTCCCGGAAGATGAATGCTAGACATTGTGAGTATCGCATAGATAATCTTTTATGACAGATCATTTTATAATGTCACACGGCACTATCTTTAAATTTATCGAAGAGAAAAGAGAGAAATTTTTAACATTGTAACAAGTAGTGATTAAAAATTCGGAATTACCAAGAATTTATATCTTAATCCAAAAAGTATTATAACTTTGATAATCTATAAATTTGAATTTTTAAAGTTATGGATTATTTGCAAAATGTTCTACAAAATATTTTTCCAATCAAACTTGTATTATTAAAATTATAATGTTACTATAAAATTTTACTTCGTTCTTTTTACCCTTGCTTTAGATTTTATTTAGACGTTATCATAAAAGTTCATCAGCTTTCGTAATTATATATGATAATTATCGGTGTTAGTAAATTTTATCACGTAAATTATATATTTTTTTATTATAAAAATAAAAGCTTAGTTTCCTCCATACAGTCAACGTGAACTACATATAATCTGATACAATTTAAAAAAAAGGATGTATCGCGTCATCAATGTGCGCCTTTCAGTAATATCACTAGATATTCCTGCATGTAAGAAATTAAATGTCCCTAAAAAATTCTTAAGTTATCAACACAGTTGTTTCAGTCCGCGATCGAGTGTCATGTATACTTTCGTTACGTTATTTTTGCAATGTCGTGAATTCCACGATAATTTAACCATTCGCCATTATTAAAATGAATATCGAAATATGTTAGTGAGGACGATTTGAGGCAACGGAAAAGATAAAAATAACGTGCGTCAACGCATTAATATATGGTAAATAACTTTTACTGACACGTGTATGTTTATCATGGATTCGAGTTTACACTTTGTTTCGAAATGAGTATTTTTTACGTTTTTGTAAGTGCCCCGGAAATTTGGAATTGATAGTGAATGGTAATGTTTATGCATTATGTCATTATGCACTTATTATCTGAAGATAGTATAATGTATTTCTACTGTATTTGATACTAAAACTTTTTAAGTTGTAGTTAACAGTGTACAGAATGAATTGCAAAAAATGCCAAATAGAGTAAAGTTTCTCATGTTCTGCATGTATACATAAAACTACAAATTACTTAAAAAATTATATCAAAAGTTGTATATTATTATGTCGCTACGCGTGTATTTTCTGAAGATAGTGTAATGTATTTCAACTGTATTTGATATGAAAACTATAACTTAATAAGTACAATAGATCTGTTTTCTATAGTCAAACTAGTGTTATTTGATATCTGGCGAAAGCGAGGAAGAAAGTTCTATATAGCGTAATCTTAACAGGAATAGAAAAACAGACCTAATAATACTATACTTTTGATAATTTTTTCAGCTGTAGTTTTTTACACTTACATGTGCAGCAGCATAAAAACTTTACCATTTTGGGTTTTGCAATTCAATCTGTATATTAATATACATCAATAATATGAAATTTTATATATTATTCCTATATAAATGACAGTATATTAATATTTTTGTACAGGTATAAAAGTTAAATAAAACAATGGCATACTCTGATCAGAATCATGAGATACCTAAAGGTACCAGAGCAAGACAGAATGGACAATATGAGATTCCAGGAGAAAAGACTGCAGCCAAGACAGGCTTAGATATATTACATACATCTCGGATAGACCGTGATATAACTGAAGATGTGGAAAAAAAGATAACGTCGCTAAAACATTTACTGGAAAAAGATCCAAGAGCTGCTGATTTAAAATGGTCCCTTTTTGTGGCAGCATCCAACACTTACCGTTACGACAGTTGTTTAAAACCGTTTCCGCCTATGTACATCAAGAACGAGTGCAAGGATATCGAAGCATTGGTATTATCCTTAATATTTTTAAAATAATATATAATATTTATCTGATAATATTTATATTTATATTCCTTTATAAATATTTATATTCCTTTCTCTACAGAGGAGAGCCATAGAATCAGTTCCTCCTTTGCCCGTGATATGCAAAGAACTTGGTGAGACAGATGTCTACCAAAATTACGGCGAAATAATAGAGTTATTGTATTGGGTACTGCTACGATTAAGAGATCCATACATCAAAAGTGTGCAGAAAGAATGCGTAAGTATACATATCACAATTTCCGAGATTTCAAAAATCAAAAGGATACACCACAGTATAGCATAAAATTTTAGATAAATATTTATATTACAGTACAATTCCATACTGAGGAAAGTGCCATTGGAGGTGCCGGTTGCAGCACCAAATCTTATATTTCAAATAGCAAGTGCGAAACAATCTACGTCAGAAGAGAAATGGAAGTCAAGTGCTAAAGGTCATTCAACATTTTATGCGTATCACGGCAGCCGTTTGGAAAACTTCCATTCCATCGTACACTATGGTTTACAACAAAACATGTGCAAAGTGCAGTAAATTAATATTAAATTAAACTGGAATTATTTTAATTTTATTTTTTTGTACTAATATCATAAAAAAGTAAATTTTTTCATATTGCTAAAATTATAAAAGTTAGCATAAACTTAATTTTGTTATTTCAGAGATCAGAGTTTGGCAAAGGAATATATTTTTCAAGCGAATTAGGAGTGAGCTTACCGTACAGTCCGGTGGGTTATGGTTGGGGAGGTAGTCTTCTTGGAAGCGAGATAAGCTGTATAGCTCTCTGTGAGCTTATTAATCATCCTGATATAAAGAGAGGAGATTCAAGTAAGCGCACAATGTATCTGCGAGAGTGATAATAGTTTATAGTATATCAAAGTTTGAAAAGAAAGTTTCTGCAATAGTTTTATGTTTCAGGAGATAACGCACAAAATACATTGAGTGATTCAGTTGGTGGAAGAATACCAGACAAGTATTTTGTAGTGACAAATAGCGATTTAGTAAGGATACGATATTTGCTCGTTTATACTCAAGATCTCCATACAACTAGGTAAGTTAGGCATAATATAGCATTAACTAAGCATTAACTAAGCTTTACGTTATCACACAATCATTGCTATAAAAAATCTTACTACTTTAGTACTACTGATAGTACGGGATTGCTGGCATGGTTCAAGCAACACAAATTACTGACATTTGTGCTCGGCTACGTCGTGCTATTAGCCTCAGTTGGACTAACGCAGAATAAACAAGTAGAGAAATACTATAGGTTATTTATTCAGAAAGCAGGATTTGAATAAAAGAAAGATAACAACATAAATTTATACAACTTGATTGCTATAAGTTGAAGTCTTGATATGAAAGAAGAAAGGTTACAAATGCCACATTTTCATAAAATTAGAAGACTCCATATGCTAAGATTAATAGCATCGTAAAACGCTGCAATATTTTAAAATTATATACAAGAAAAAATCTTTTAATAGCATTTCTGTGATTTGCACATTTTTGGCATCTACGGCCTTTTTACCTGTCAAGTCTTCGATTATATTGAATTGATTATATATTGTCCACCAATGCGTTATGTGTGAAAAATATTATCTTTTATATACATTTTTTAAATATACATGTGGCATTTAAATAAATATTTTCTATGATAAAAATGTATATATACGAACATACTGTTTTATACAAAATGTTTTTTATTTCTATAACTTTTAGTATCGTGAGAGTATGATAGGAAAGTTCTCAGTGACCAAATAATCGTCTTCAAACACAACGATAAGATTTACTTCAAATTCTGAAAAAATATTAAATTATAACTCTGTAATTCACATTTTTGTTTTAATGCATTAACTGCCGCATATAATATTCTTACCAACTTTGAAGTTGCTTGTGCTTAAAGTGGGGCATGTAAATAATCTTGGAAATATCATGTAGATTGGAATAGCAAGATTTGTGCAAGCATTGCCCTCCCCGATTTGTATATTTTGTATCTCCGTTGCTGCAAAAATACACTCTTGTCAATCTTGATCTGTTATCGCAATTACTGCAATGTATCCATTTTATATGGATTCGTCGCATAATTATTTTTTTACCGTCTCTAGAGTATCCTTCTGCACATCCACAAGTTTCCACCCTCACTAATTGTAATTCTATAGACTTTACAACAGCCTCGCACTGTTCGATCACTACCTGTACATATAGATAATAGATAAAAGTGCAATATTCTGATATTAAATAGATGGAAAAAAGTCACATACTTCTCCTGTCAGAGGCTCAGAGAGTTTGCAATACAAAGAGTCTAATCTTCCCGAAATGCAAAATCTTGGTACATTAGGCCTGTCCCGAGTATTTTGCAGAGATTCCGGCATTATTTTGAAGAACACAATCTTACTGTGATCCTTCTCCACCTTAGCATTTGCTTTATCCTCGACTATAAACTCCAATGATTTGCTGACATCTTTCGCGAGGAAGCTTCTTTTTATATCACAGCGTATCAGGTACTGTATATTCACAAAAACACCGTGATACGTTTCGTAAAGAGATTTGTTTCCTCTTGGCTTTAATGGCAATTCGAATGGTATTTCTGTCTTACCACTGGGAATCTTTCCAGATGGAGCAACATCTAGTGTATATTGTACTAATTGTATCGGCTGAAAATAATTACGATTTATACAATAAAAAATTAGTATTTGCTATATTTACATTAAGAGAAAAACAAAAATTAAATTAAAAAAATAAGTAATTCAACAGTTTCTTTGTATCAATACTTATATATATATGCGTCAAAGTATTTACTTTAACGGAATTATAAAATGCTTCGAAAATGCCGACGTTCTTGGAACTAAGCTGCAAATTCACCGAGCCTTCCATGGTGAGAAATATACCATCGTGCTTCACGTCTGAATTAGTTTTTAACTGTATCAGGCCAGCGACTACCTCCTGCCATATATAACCTCAATTTTCATTTCAAGTATCCACAACTTTAACAAGAGAATAAAAAACTAAAATAAAAAACCAACCCCTTCGTGATATATTTTGCTTGCGCGTTTCAATTTTATGTCTATATTGATGGACATTTTGCGGATGATCCTTTTTTTGACACTTGTTAGAATACCAAAGGTATCAACTCATCTGTTATGAGAAATTGCACGCCATCAAGTAATTAATCACTATATCAATTCCTCACGAGCTTTAAAAATTTTGGGGAGCATCAGATGTGACGACTTACGATCAGCTGTTCGTAGAACAACGAGCTGAAAAGTGATGAGGGTGTGAGAGAGAGAGAGTGACAGCTGTGCGAGTCAGAGACGTCTGTCTCACTTTATAAATAATATAATATTGTATACACAGTAATTAATATAATTTATATACAGTATTATTATATATGTATATAGTAAACTATTCGGTTTCTCGCGTGCTCACGTGTTGTAAGCTTCATTCTATCTTTCTTCTGTATACTATGGAGTGTGTGATAGAATGAAGCTTACAGCGTGTGAGCACCAAAAACCGAAACAACCGAACACAACCAGAATATCCAGTATTTGATTGATTTTGGACAAATCCTTGGCATCACAAATGTTACAATTTCAAGAAAAGTATTGAATTGAATAAATATGAACTGTTTCCACGCGACTGAAGATCTTTATGATGAACAGTTGATCGATGTACGAAACCGATATTTATGTATATCGTATAAATAATTACACTAGGAGCGAAATCCATAGACGGTGCTCAAGATTCGAGATGGCTTAAGCTAGTGTATGAACCAATCAGAGAGCCGTATTAGCATCTTAAGACCTTGCTTGAGATTAAGAACGGACTATGGATTCCGGCCAAGGAACGACTTTTCGGCACCTATACGGAATTCTTGCAGGGAGGACTTGTAATGTCCAAAATATATTACATAATCATATTAGAAAATATGACTATTGCTATTATTCGACTATTGAATGACAGTAGAACTGATTCAAAGACAAGACAAACTGGAAATATTTTGGAGATACCATATCTGAAGATATATACGACAATCTTTCGAAAAACAAAGATAAACAGTGTGGTGAAATGATTACAAATTAAAGTAATAATGATAATAATTTCTCCTCTACATATAGTAATTACTATCAAATTATTATCAATATATTACTTCGTAATCATTTCACTTCACTTTTTATCTTTTAAAAGACAATTTATGTTTGTTTTTACTATTTTTTTCGCGCGTTTAATACCTTACCATAAAGTATAGCTAATTCAAACGCGTCTGCTTTCTCGCGTCTCTACATTTTTTGATTGTTTCTGTTACAGAAAACCGTCACTTCATTCTTTGATAACTTTCGAGTTGCTTAGACTTTTACGAGCAAACTATAAAAGTATCAAACAAAGGGAATTTTATTACTCCGAGATGACTCGACCAATGACGAAGGAACGAGTCGGCTAAGCTTACAGACGCTTCCAGACTCGGCGGGGCGCGGTGCAGGGTGCAGCGTTCTTGCTGCGCAAGCGCGCATTCGCTTTCTTCTGCGCCTGCTTCACCTTCATGCACTAACAAATTCAAATCGACAAAGTCGTTACTTGCGAGAGTTGAAACAGAGTTGACCTGTGGCGACTTGCTTCTCGAAGGAAGAGACGGAGATTTGTGTCTGCAACGGAAACAAGGGCCTCTCTGCACGATTGTGACTGACTATGGCGACAAGAAATCGTACCGCTATCACGGTGAGCACGTGAGATTTCAATTTGCGAGCGCAGAAAAATCCCCCCTGTTGATAATGGGTGGAATCAACGGTCTAACAGTTGTCCTAACGCCTGACATCTTTAAATGCCCCCTCGTACGCTTAAATGCCACCACGATTATGATCTCGAGATTTTTATACCAGTCATCTCTTAATCTCATCCCAGTAACTTACGGTCTTACGAAAAAACTCCTCAAGCGGATAATTTTTATTAAAATAAATCTAGAAGAATAATAGGAAGTTTCTCCCTTGTTGTAAAATTTTTACATGAAATGGAACGTTATGTTTAAGCACCGAAAACGTTAAATTAGCATCGACGATGTATTATCTATTATCCATTCAGTACAAAGAGACTATTGAACTCCAAGAAATTAAATTAAAGGTGTCCCTACTTTCTGAAGATGTTCCCAGGATGTTCCTGGAATAAAGTGTGCTGTATGGATAATATCTTTAATTAATTTATCTGGAGACAGCGGTAGTGTCTCGGCGCTAAGCATGGCGCGACAAACATTACGTAAATGTAAGAATTACATGTGGCTTGAATTTACACCATTGTTTCATAACTTATCAGGCTGCTCCATACATATATGCTGCTTCATTTTTATTGATATTTTAATGTATAATATCAAGAAAAATTTCAATAAGAATATATATATTGCTTTTTCTATTTATACAAAAACTTATCCACAATAAACATTAACTAACAATAACATAACTGTAACATAATTTTGTTAGTTATAATTTTTCACTGAACAATATAACTACCTATATTGTATTGTTGAGTAGGAAATTATAACTAACGGTATGTTATTGTTAACAGTCAGTGTTGTCTGGATAGAATATCATATTCTTTTAAATTTTACTTTAAAAATTTTTTTATGTGTTATGTGTTTCAGGTGAACCATGCAAACCAGGAAAATATTAAAAGTATAAAACCTTCGGTGATTGGTGTACCAACGAAAGAAAAAAGAGCCGTACTAGGTGAAATAAGTAACAGAGTTAACACATTGAGGGGTGTCGAGCCCATTGATAGGATTAGTTTATTACAAAGGAAGAAAGTACCGGTATCGAAGCGGCAAGCTATAAAGCCAAACATAAATCTACCTGAGAAGCCACCAGTGCAAATCGTAAAACCAATTGTAAAAACAACATCATCTTCCAATGTAATCAATGTACCAGCTGCTCTCGTTAGTCCAAAGAGAGAAGAGAGGAATTCGTTTTCAACGGATTTATTAAAATTTGAAGATATTGACGAACAAGACAAGAATAATCCTATTCTAGTTTCTCTCTATACTAATGACATACACGAATATTTAAGGACGTTAGAGAATAAATTTACTATTAAAAAGGGATATCTAGCGGGCCAGGAAATTACCCCTAAGATGAGATGCGTATTGGTAGATTGGTTGGTAGAAGTGCATCAACAATTTCGATTGATGCAAGAGACATTGTATCTCACCATCGCAATTATCGATCGCTTCTTACAAGTAAGATACAAATAATATAATATGTCGCAATAAAAGTAAACATCTTTTAATATTATAAAGAAATTATATGCATACATTTAAATGGTTATATGTATATTTTGTTCTTACAGTTGTTTCGAACTATAGATAGAAAGAAATTACAGCTGGTAGGTGTAACAGCTATGTTTATCGCTAGCAAGTATGAAGAAATGTATTCACCAGATATAAGTGATTTTGTATATATCACGGACAAAGCATATTCAAAGGTAGATATATTGAATATGGAAATGCTTATTGTGAGAACTTTGGACTATTCGTTCGGGCGACCATTACCACTGCATTTTCTTCGAAGATATAGCAAAGCTGGAAAGGTATGTATATAAATATACGAAAATTTTTATTTTTATTGCTCCGTTTATGTTATTTATAACTAGCACTGTAATTTTATAAATAAAATCTAAATGATTTGTTAAGGCGCTTCCTGTACATCACACGATGGCTAAATATTTTCTCGAGGAAAGCTTGGTTTATTATGAAATGTGTCATTATCCACCTAGTCTCATCGCTGCAGCAGCGATATATCTAGCATTTTTGTAAGTAACTAAATCATCTTATGCTATACGTTCCTTAACATATTCGATTAATAGATGATGTTTGTCCATTAGAATTATCGGTAATGATGAAGAAGACGAAGGCAAGGTTATCTGGACAGATATTCTCGTATACTATAGTACTTACTCCAAGGATGATGTGTTACCTGCAGTACATGATATAGCTGCCATAATAACTAATGCAGAAAACAGTAAATATCAAGCTGTGAGGAAGAAGTATGTCCATGTGAAACACATGAAAATTAGTATTCGACCAGAACTTAAGTCACCAATTATGCTTTCCATTGCAGCAAAACGCAATAAGTCATAAATTTGTAATAAAACAATAGAATTTGTGAATTTACTACTTTTGAGATATTTTCAATAAGATGTTTGTCTGTTACATTAAATGTGATATCGATGAATATGATTATGGACATTATAGTTCATGGAAGATTACATTGAAAAATAAATTAAGATAAATAGAGGATAAAGTAAAGCTTTATCACACAAAGTGATGAATGTTGCATGCGTTAGACATTTAGTGTATAAATTTCTTATTGAAAAATCTATTCTCATTTAGTCACATACGGAAACAAAAAGAGAAACGTATTTAGAGTATTATATACAAACGTTTGTTACTATAAGTAAAAATTTAGTCGGGTAATACTGATGGACTTTATTTTGGACTGCCGTAGTAAAACTAATTATAGCGGAAAACATAAAACGCATCTTTTATAATGAAATATTAAATAAAGCTTTTAGTTTTTATTCCTAGCTGATTATAATATTTTAATTTTGATATAAGTCCTACAAAGATACTTTTGATGTCACCATATGAAAATATGTGAGTATTCTAAGACATATTTCATTTTTTTCTTATACTTTTATATCCATATTTTCTCAAATGTTGTTTATCTTAAATAGTATGGGAATCTCTATCGTTAAGTCTTTTAAGATTGTTAATTTTGGAATATAAATTGGATACAACTTGTGTACGAAAGTGAGGCGTTATCATTTTTGAAGATACCATATATCGCTTAGGAAATTTTTATCAATATAATGATAAAGAAATGTTCTTTGATTTTACATTTTATATTACTATATCCTATAATATGTATATAAAATAATTAGTATATAGGTATCTGCGCATGCCTGAAGCAACATAAAATTTTATATCGTTAAGCAATCCAAATTTTAACACTTCCAAATTTAGATGTTTAATATGTAGCATGACTCTACTTTAAGATCGAATACAAGTGGCTATTATATTTAGGCCTTATTAGTTGCAAATTTAATTATAATATAATAATGATATAGATTAAATTACCAACTCTATATACACATACCTTTGTAAATAAAAAGCTAAATTGCTATAATTTATCTGTATTACGTTAATCTCTTATATTTATTATGTGATAGTAAAACTTTTCTTACATTCATACATTAATGCAACATTATAAAAATATTTATTTATTTTTGAAAAGTTTTTAAAAAATGTTTAGCACGCGTGGTGGTGTATCAGCCTCAGGTGGAAACATTATATAGCGTTCTAAAAAATTAAAAAAGTATTAAAGATCAATGAATGAGCAATCTATTGTATTTTGTGAGTACTTACCCATTAATTTAATGGGTGCAATAATTTCTTGAAATTGTGCTTGTGTATGAGTTGCACTTTTTTCCTGCAAATAAATCAAAGAATGTAAAACGTAATATTTGGAAATCCCTGGAATATTTTTTGCATTAATTACTTACTATATCAACTAAACTTGTAGGAGCTGATCTGTCCCAAATTTCAGGTTTACTATTTTCCACTAATTCAAAAAACTCCTTTTTCTCAACTAAGATCTTTACTGCACTTTCATCAAATTCGAATCGTATTAGCACCTGTAGAGTTAATATATTCTCTGCGAGCTTTATTCGATAGTGTAATATAATGCAAATTTATATTTATAAACAAACCTCTATCTTTGTATGCATTACTAATAATTTGATAAAGGGCATGTATTAAGCCTAAATCTTCAAACATACTGCCTTTCTTTAAATTTAAAAGTTTTCTTGCTTGTTTTCTACGGTTCTTACTTGATCGATAGCTTTTGCTGAAAAACACATTTTTTTTTATTTTATATGTGTACGCACACAAAAAGCGTATGGTGTATAATATATATAAAGTGTTATTATATAGATGACTTTTAAAAAATATACAAGTACCTAGAAGATGTTGACAATTGCGACATTCGACTTGAAATAGAATCTGCAATACTGATTGTATCACTAATAGAATCTGGAATTTCTTTATTACATTCTAGTTCATCATTATAAGTCTTTTCATGTAATAATTGTGTTTGTTTTGCTTTCATTTCTGTTCTTACTACAGCAAGGCGTGATTTATGACTTAGAAAATCTGTCTTCATTTTACTCAATTGTGAAATCACGTGTTCTGCGTGTTCCTTCACTCCAGGTTTAATATGTGTTTCTATAAAAAAAAAAATGAATAATTTAGATACAGTAATTTTTCCTTATATTTTTAGTATATTATAAATATAATTATTTATAATCGATAGTTTACCATTGCTTTCCGAAATTTTAATATATTATAGATAATTAATATTTAGAGAGTATATTTAAATATATTTAACTTAATATATATATTTAATCATTTTCTAACCATTCAAATCTAAACGTTGAACATCAATCGTTATCCGTATTGCATGTTTCCAGATTCTTCCTTCACATAATACTGCAACTGCTTCTTCAATGTCATTTAAATATTCCTTTAATATTACAGCTGCATGTTCGTACCTACGCCCCGCTTTCAAATGTTCAACTAGTATCTTATAACGTTCATGTAAATCTACTGGACTGAAGAAATTAATTCTTATATAGTATAAAATAACATAATATGATTAATTCTAATGAGGATGATATCCTTTCATATATGTACATAAAAAATGCATGTACACAAAAAAATTTTTTTACCTTAATTTCATTTCTTTTAATATGGTGATTACGTCCTCCCAATTATCACTTGACATGCTAAAGGTTTCTAAAGCTTTGTCAAGATCGCCACTTCTATAAAACATCATACCAGCTTCGAAATATTTCTGTTCATTTGATAAAAATTCTCCATAAATTGCAGCCACTTTTTTATGCTCCATAGTATTTTTTTCAAACAATTTTATTGCTGTCTTACACAACTTTTGACTACGTATGAAATCTAAACATTCTTCAAACTTGGCTGGCTCTTTAGATAAGAACTCTAATGCTGATTCATAACGTTTAAGATATACATTAATAGAATACTTCATGTAATTTGTGTTTAATTTTTTTAAATTGTTCAGGAATGGAACATATTCTTTTGGGTCTTTCGATGATTTAGACGCTATAAACATTGCGAGTTCAAAATCATACATGCCTAATGCAGTATCATATAACACATCAATATTTACGAAATGCAATAAATACTTTAGTGCTTCGTAGGCAGATACAGAAGATTTGTGTGGCGTTAATTTTTGTGATTCCTCCAACGTTTTGACTTGCTTTATTTTACTAAGTGCATTTTCCAAGCCCTGTCTTTGTTGATTTTTTACCAAACTTATCAATATTGGTTGTATTAAATTATCTGCATCATGATGTTTCTCTATGACATCTCTTAATAATTTACAGATTTTATCTATCTTATTAACTACTTTGTTATCATTAGTTTCGTTACTTTTAATGTCAGATTTGATAGTGTGATCTACATAACAATTCGCGTACATCGTATTGATGACATTTTCATCTTGTAATTCTGACAAAAACAGATTCAACCAATGTAGTTTTTTATGTTGTATAATATCTTCCACGAATTTTTTTACATTATCCATAAATAATTGTGGATTGTGATCGTATATTAAGTTTAAATTTATACGTTGTTTAGTCATGATATCAAGCGCCGCCAAATAATTACAGTTATTGAGATAATGTTTTAATATATGCAACGATAATATCCTTGGCTGTATACATTCTAGATTTCCTCTAGGCATTTGTAAAATTACTTTTGAATCTTGTGGTATCGCTGTTATTATACGAGAATCCTTTTCGAGTCGTCTTATATAAATATCTGTAACGATACATTTAAAGTTAGAAAAGTGCATACACAAAGTGATACACACAAAATAAAAGAGATTACAAAATATGTATTCACCTGTAAATGACATCTTGTCCATAGTATTTAACCAAGGTTTAACGGTTAAATCATATTCACTTAGCTGCTTTAAGCCAACTTCGTTCAATGGAACACAAACCAATGTATGTTGCAGTGTTGTGAGAATCACAAAATCAGAATGTACATAAAAACTTGTAATATTCTTAGCAATTTCCTTTCCGTTAATAAAAAAACTATTTTCTAAAGATAGACTAAGAATAACGTCATCCGAATTAATTTTTACAATTTCAATCTGAGCGCATAATTTACTTAACGTTATATTTGTTCGTTCAAATTTTCCATCTTGTGTGTATTTAAATATTTGTTCTTTCGCTTTTATGTAAGCTGTGTTTGCATCGGAAGAAGAAATTATATGTTCTATTGGATAATCCAAAACATGAATTTTCCTGTGAAAAAAAAATTCAAGTTTAGACAAATATTTTACAGAGTTTATGAAGCTGGTATGATGTTTTATATCTAGGAAACCACATACTGTATTGTCAGAGAATCCTTTGAACTTTCTTTATCTAAAGATAAAACACATAAAAAATTATGATTGTTTGTAACTGTACCAAACAACATAATGTCTTTTTTAAACCATAAGAAATTATTTGTATAGTAATGGAGGTCTTTGGTTTTTAATACATCATATTCGATATCATATAATGTGTCAAAATCAATATTATATGAATTTATAACTTCATATGCCAGTGTGGAGGATTCCTATAACATATGATAAATTTCTTTAAATTAAGAAGCACCATAACGGTCAGAACGTTAAGATATTGAACTATTATAAATTCATTTAAAATGAATTAATTTCAGAAATTATAATTGCGTGCCGATATGGTTGTCGGACTTTCAACGCAATCACATCTGAAAATATTAATAATCCCCCCAAAATTCCCAACTTAAAAACTGTAATAAACTTATTGCGAAAAATAATGCCTCGGCCGGGAGTCGAACCCGGATCTCTTGCATTCCGTGCGAGCGTCCTAAGCCTTTAGACCACCGAGACAGCGTTGAAAATCCGACAACCATATCGGCATGCAATTATAATTTCTGAAATTAATTCATTTAAATGAATTTATAATAGTTCAACATCTTAACGTTCTGACCGTTATGGCGCTTCTTAATTTAAAGCA